CTTTTAATCTTTCTGGACCAGAGCTTATGGGTTCTAGAAGAAAACTACTTGAGCCTCAGAGCTTGCCTCTAAGAGGCATGGCTCTCAGAGACTTCCAGAACATTTCTAGAAGAAGGAAAGCCTGTAGATGAAGGAAGAAAGCAAGGCTCCGGACACATGTGTGGAGGTCCTGACGGCCACAGCCCTGCAAGTGTGTCTTTGATTACTCTGGGCTGCGGGGGAGAAGCTCCAGGCATCTCCCCATGACTGATAGTTAAGCTAATCTGTTCGCTAGGCTATCTGAGAGAACTCAGCCCATTCTGAACCTCAGCCCAGACTTCAAAGGCTGTCTAGAAGAAATTGTTCTTCATTTCCTGCCCACTCCAACATGCAAACTGTATTGAAGCTGTGTGACCTTCTCCAGACAACTCCTACAGCTATTCCCCACTGCCAGTTTCTTTCCTTTCCTGTGCCAGAGTGTCACCCATAGGCCTTGGGCTGCTGTCCCCCACCCCAGAGTGATGACCTCTACAATGGCCTCTGACTGAAACATCTGATTCCTTCCTTTCTTCCTTCCTTCCTTCCTTCCTCCCTTCCTTCCTTCCTTCCTTCCTTCCTTCCTTCCTTCCTTCCTTCCTTTCTCTCTTTCTTTCTTTTGTTGTTGTTGTTTTGAGGAAAAGGCCCGACTCTGCAGTCCTGGCTGTCCTGGATCTCCCTCTGTAGCCCAGGCTGGCCATGAAATCACAGAGATCTGCCTCTGCCTCCTGGGTGCAGGATTTATAGGTGTACACTACAGCGTCCAGCTCTGAGCCCTACTCTTGCTAGGGTTCTATGTGTCTCCTGAGAACCCCAAATGACAAATGTTCCATGATCTCACATCTCTTGTTTCCCCATGCTTTGGCATCAGGAGCAAGGTTGACACAGCCCTGTGGTCACTTTTTCAAGGGACAATGCAATGAATCCTACACAATGATGCTACATGGCAGTGGTTCTTTTTCCCAGGATCCTGTGCTAGAAATCTGTGGGAATGGAAGGTCTGTACAGCTATTCTTACAAATATTGTATCTAGATTTTCTTGGGCAGGAGAGGTAGTCAGAAGCCACACTGTGGGTTTCTTCCCATTCCCTCTGCTCTGGCCTGACTGAACATCCTTCTGTGGGAAGAGTGTGAGGAAGACTTATTGTAACTGAAGCTGGAATAGTAGATGGAGAACTGTCCATGAACTCTCCAAGTATGGTGACTGCAACCACACGGAGAGCTTGGAAGGCAAAACAGTTATGTGTTAAGACAGTCTGTGAGAGTGGACTCGGGGCAAAGCCTCTCGCCCTGGCACACCGAGATCCTGCGGTCTCAGTCTAGGCAAAGATGCAGGCGAGGGCATGGAAGAAGCCTGCAGAGAAATCTTCCTGAGGAAGTTAATTATTGAGGGTTTGTGCTTCCCTGAATTCTGTTTTCAAGTCAGTAGGTGAGGGCACTATGCCAGGGATGTGACAGAGATGACCTGTGAATAGAGGAGTCTCAAAATCCCTACCTAAAGCCAAATTTATATTCCGGGCCTGATAACCAAGAGGTCACAGACACAGACAATGTCTCTCCTTGCTTTCATGTTTTGGTGACATTTTAACTGACTCCTATTTCTCATGTGTAAAATAGATGTTAAACTCTATGGCTTTTAGTCCTAACACACATATGACAAAATGTTACTACCCATGATACCTTTACACTGCCCAAGACTAGCATGTTTAGAGAGTGATTAGGGAAGGGTTCCATGGACTCCGGCAGGAGGCTATCCTTTGTTGATGGGACATGAGGAAATGGAGGGTGATGGGCTGCTTGCTGGGATCCAGAAGGTGGAATAATGTCCTACGGTAATTGTAGGCTGCCAGAGGACACTTGGGTCTGAGGAGGTAAAGAGAGCTAAGTGCCCCGGTTCCATTTGCCTCGCAACTTGGGAGTGAGACAGGTTAGATGCCATGGAGAAGGACTGGGACTGTCCGGACACTTGTTTCCTTTTTCCATCTGTGTGGAGGCTCTGCCATGTCACCTCCTCTCTGGCACACTGGTGTGCCACTGTGGTTCTACTCTTCAGGTCTCCTCCCTGTTTTTACTGAGTGCAGAGCACTTTCTTTGGGGGACATTATCCTTAGTTTATTTTCCCCTGCTTCCCTACAGAGGTAAACACAGAAAAGCCTAATCAGGCTTCACATCTACCACTCAACCCTCCCTTGGCAGCAGAGGGAATGAGTGAGGGGAGTCTCTGGGTAGGAGGAGAGCAGGACAGAATAGTTTGTCATACAACACCTTGTCTAAGAAAGAGCAGTGAGGGATGACAAGGCTTTGGGTCAGAGCCAGTGTCAGAGGTGAGAAGGTTATACTTTACTTTCCAAGCTTAGGAGAAGACTCAAGGAAAGGCCAGCATGATTCCGGAAGGTCTGATAATAGGGGTTGGTTGGGCAGGTTGGATACAAAGTCTTCCTCTCCATGGGAGGGAGAGGGGTCTTCAGGTATCACAGGACTGTCTATGGTCCAAACAAACCTGGCTAAAGTGAATGGTCTCAAGGGCAGGCCTGTGCATCAGTCCTTCACGGGGTTCCTCTCACTACTGGTTCATTCATCGCTTGCTTAATTGTAGATCTCACCTTCTAGAAGGGATAGAGATTTAAGGGGATAAATAATTCAGTAATATATTAAGTGCAAAAATTAGAACCACACATTTATTAATATATCACTCATGATGGTGCTTGTTTACATAAACTTGTGATATATGTACAGAAATAATACTGGATGGAAAGATGGTATATCATTTCTTAGAATTAGAGATGTAAAGGTGATTTTCATTTATTTCTTAACAATTTGGGTATAGTTCTAAATTTTCTATTACTCTTATTCTGAGAAAAAAATATTCCAAGTTGTCCAGAAAAACTATAGAAGACCAGGGTTGGTTGGAGCTAGGTCTTCCATCAAGGTATTTAATCACTGGATACCCATGACATCTTTCTGGGCTGGGACAAGGGGTCTTTTACTGGGAGGAATGAGCTTGATGATCTTAGCATGAATCCTCTGGGCTGTGCTGAGTGTCACATGTTTTGGATGTGAAACCCATGAAAAAGGTACTCAAACCAGAATGGAAACTCTTTCTTACAATGGCATGTAAAATCAAAAGGCCAGCCAGGTTCATGGAGCCTTCGAGTGAGTCTCAGTGGGATCTGCTAGTAACTTTTGTCTCTGCCAGGCAGAGAGAAACTCACCTTTACTTGGCAGAGAAAGCCTTTCCATTGTCTCTCACTCACCATTGTTGTGACATCTCTAGAGTAGAAGCCATCCAGTGTTTCAACTCTGGGAACATGACTCTAGACTGGAAAGGTAGAGCTGGACTGGAAAGATAACATCCAGCTAAATCAGACAGATGTGCACCTTTGTTATCTTGAAAAACCATTTCATCTCTAACACCCCTTTTGTCTTCATCAGTAAGACTAGGTTGGTCATTTCTAACCCACAATACTGTGAGAGAATTCAAATACATAAGTGAGAAACATAGTAGAGAATGTCTAAAGCTGAACAAGGCATTGTTAAATATGTGTTTCCTCATCACCCATGTACAAGTTTCTAAGTCCTGACAACTACCTCAGAGATTGCTTATACCTGTAATGGTTCTTTTCACCTTTTGAGCCATGGAGGCACAGAGTAGGCAGGCAAGAAATCTGGGCTTCAGTCCTAACTGTGGGTGTGGTGGGGTACCTTCCTAGCCAGCATGACATGAGGGATTGCAATGGATGGTAGGTACATGGATCATATTCTGGGAACCTTGTCAGATAAGTGGGTCCTCTATTCACTCTCTCCCCACCACAGAAAAACCTGTGATGTCTACTGTCTATCTGCTCTGTAATGACAAGAATTTGTAAACTTAAGACCAGCAATTTGATTCTGCAAACTTGTAATTAGGGACTGTCAGTCAGTATGAACACCTTTGGTTCATTCTCTGACACCTCCTGGGTTGCCTGTATCCAGTCATGCTGTTTGTCTGTCTGCCATGATCCCGATGATCTAATATGTTCAGGGCATGAGTCTAGACACGGAAGAGAAAGTGGGGGACTTCAACACATGAAACCAGCATCTAGAGGGGGCAAGGAACAAAATGAACACAAATGAGATAAGCTATGGGCTCATAAACCGACTTAGGCACTCTGCAAGGAGGCAGAAAGAAAGGTGCTCAGAGTCGTGCTCTTTCATCTGGGTATTTGTGGCTTCACTGAGTAGGCGGCAGCTGGTACTGAAAAGGCAGCGTCTAGAAACTGTAACATCCTGGAACTCTCTAACTTACGTTCCACACACCAATTCAGTCATAGCTCCCTTTAGGTGTTAGTCTCTGCCACTGTCATTACCATCTTGGTCTTCCTCGGAAAAAGATTAATAATTTCAGCTCGTAAAAGGCTGACATCATCTTTCCTTCCGTCTCTTGTCTCTTTTCCCAAGACTGTTCTACCCGCTCAGAGAGAAGCTGAGCAGTCAGACCACAGATGAAGTGTTAGACTCAGGTCCTGTTGTCATACTCTGAAGGAAATAAGGATTTGGTAGATGTAGTGCACAGGCAAGTCAGGAAGACTGTGGTCTCTGAACGGGACTGATTAAGTCACTCACAAATGCTTTGTTACCTTGGGCTTATCAAACTGAAAGGATGCCATGTAGATACAAAGTTAAGGTATGTTTCATCCAGGTTACAAATCAACACAAACAAAATTAAGAGACAAGAGATTCTGTTCCAGTATGAACTGGTGTCTTATGAATCTTTTGATTGATCTAATAAAATGACACGGGGTGTCTGTGTAGGCTGAGTTCAAAGTGGTTGGAGGAATATAAACATAGACAGCGTGTACCCTCACTTGGAACGTTATAGAGAATATTCAGTTGGTTTGACCTTAAATTTATGATTCTTTGATTCTAGTGGGATGCCTGAGGGCAGATGATAGGAATAAATATAGCTGGAACCTCCTGGTGGGGCCTTGTCAGAAGGAGGCTCCAGCATGTTTCAAATGCTTTTTTTGGCTCTATCCATAATTCTCCTCACCGACACAGGTAAAGCCTGAAGAGAGAGGAGAGTGATGGAGTACAAGAGGAAGAAGTAACTGTACTTGGCTATGGGGCTGCTGTGAAGTGATTTAAGGTGAATTTTCCTTCTCTTCCCAGGAGAAAGAGCGCTGACAATCCCATGTACAGTATATTTGGTTTGCATTTCTTGGAAAAAGATCATACTACCATGAGAGGAAGAATTCTTCAGCTCTTTCCACACTGTCCCTGTCCACTCCTCGCTCCCTACTCCAGAATCTTCTTTCTCTAGTTTTGATTTATGGATGGGTGGGACGATTCTTGGAGGAGATCACTGCTGTCATTAATAAAATCTAAGGGGAGCAAGAGTGCCAAACTTCCTCTCATGGGTTTGTACAATCTTGGCTTTATAAAGTAGTTCTTGTCCGTAGCTCTAACCTCTCAAACCTCCCTCTCCTTTAGTGATTAGAATATGTAATCTATGTTCTAACTTTGATGGAAACAAATGCCTTGATGGCATGAAAAGATGCTGGAAGTTCAACATGTTGTGGTTCAACAGGACCTGTGCCACAGAAAACTTTTATTTTTATGACATTTTAACAGGTAAGCGAGTCTTTGACAGACACACACAAAAATGTCACCAATAGTACTCATGATTTCTGGAGTTAAGGTGCCGAGGGACCTGGGATCCCACAGACAAGAGCATAGGTATGTTTGGTTGAAAGACAGGCATCTTTTTCCTGACTATGGCTAGAGTTACATAGATGAGATGCAGCAGCAGACTTGGGTTCACACTATTCTTTGGAAAACTGAAAAGGTTCTGGAGGGAGGCATGGTGATGATATTTGCTTTTCTTTCCTTAGGGGCACACATTTTTCGATATTCAAAACTGTCCTGTAAACCTTGTGCAAGTGGAATGTTTCAAATATACCATGACCTTCTGAGAGAAACATTTTGCTGTACTGACAGGAGCTACTGTAATGATGGCACCAATCGCTTAGATATGTCGTCATTGTATTTTGAGGATCAAAAGGTGCAGAGAGAGTTGAATGACTGACAATAAAAAATATCTTGAATAAAATTTAAACAGCCTGTGTCTCTGTAGTCTTGGCACTTATAAAAACCAAGCCCCATATTTCTCTCTATGCCAGTAACTATTCCCATGCAAATCCAGTCTTCTGGGTGTTTGTGTTTCAACTAACAAGAAAGAGAAAAGCAGTATTATCTCAGATAGAGCAGTCGTGTCCTCTTTGGTTTCATCATTGTGATCTTATTCGTTTCTACCACGTTATATTTATGTAAGTAGAATAACATATGTAAATCTAAAAATAACTTTCAAAACACTTGAAGTGTCAGTAAGAGAGGATTTGTCCAAATCTTACAATAATAAGATAGAGATTAGAGTTTAACTTCAGGTGGAAAATATGGCAGATTCCTCCACTGGGGTGTGGCTAATTAGTTCATGTGAACAGAATAGAGATACTGGCAGGAAGGTCTCAAGATGAAATGATTCCCAATGATCCCAGCAAGCAAAAATCATGTTCAAAGAGAAACTAAGGGAAAGGTTCAAACTAGAGAAGAAACAGGAAGTAGATGTGATGAGGGTGAGTGACAGCAGGAGGAGAGAGAGACCCCGAGGGAGACAGAGCAGGAGTGGACAGCCACACACAGCTGAGCGTGAACTGAAGACCATCAGCCTTTGGCAGAGCAGAGTCATATTCCTCCATGTGGTCCTCCAGGTCTGCCTTCCTGAACTCTGACCCTGTCTTAGATTTCCATGAGATTCTGACTCTCATGTTGCCTCTTCCGCCATTTTGGTCTAATGGAAAATCAAGCAGGATTATTCAGGGACAGTCATGGTAGTGACATCTCAAAACATTTTACAAATGACAAAAACCAAGCAAGATGTAGAGGGAGTGGTCAAAAAGGCCAGGTCCTGAGCAAATGTGGTGGCTCTGGATTGAAGTCTCTAAACATCTCTGGACTGATGATGGACCTGCAGTGCCAAAACTACTGATCACACAGGGAAGACAAACATGTTAGAAATCATTTCAGAAAACTGGGTCCTAATTTATAGGAACTGATATCACAATATCCTTAGACAGAAAAATAGGCCGGGCTGTGGTGGCACACACCTTTAATCCCAGCACTTGGGAGGCAGAGGCGGGTGAATCTCTGTGAGTTCAAGGCCAGCCTGGTCTACAGAGTGAGTTCCAGGAAAGGCACAAAGCTACACAGAGAAACCCTGTCTTGAAAAAACAAAACAAAACAAAACAAAAAAAAAAAAGATAGATCCACAAATGCCCACAATGCAATTTATTGGGGATTTACTGGCTGAAATAAATCCTATATGCTAGCAAGACAAGTGGATTCCAATGATTTGGTTTATAAGGAAGGGGCATATACAGTGGTTATGACAAACGTGATTTTATCTAAATCTTAGATAAAAGATTTTGTGTGCACCTGTGTGTGTGCCTGTGTGTGTGTGTGTGTGTGTGTGTGTGTGTGTGTGTACTTCAGGCATATCAGGTATATTATTCGGCCAGCATTGGTAGCACTAGTGTCTGGATGATAAAACTCCACAGAACACCCATGTCTTCATTTATTTATAAAATAGTGGGAAATTCTCAATGGAAAATCAAGCAGGATTATTCAGGGACAGTCATGGTAGTGACATCTCAAGACCATAGCAGTCCTGTCATTCTGAATAACATAGAACTCTAGTCCCGAAGTATTATTAACACAAGAAAGAATATGGCTTCATTTGGGTAAACAGACATAAAAGCTTAGAAATCAAATAAAATATGTTTATTTACTGATTAACTTAAAAGTAGACCTCAGACCCCCAAACAACACAGGGTATTTCCATTGCTCTCAACCCACCACTCAGACCTGATGGTATCACCGTATTATTATTGAAGACACTGCACACTTTGGTCACAGAACGCAGAGAAATCAAGCTGATGCTCAGCTGGAGGCTTCCTCCCTATGGCTAGCTTTCCTGGGGCTGGAAAGTGTTTTACACAATGCTGGGAGAGAGAAATCATCAACAATTTTGCTCAGCTGTGGACTCCAAGAGATACAATAATAGCTGGTATGGATATGCCATATGGTACAGAGATATGCCTACTGGTACAAGAGTTTTAAATGGCATGGGGTAGCCAATCACTTTGAGTGCATTTTAAGACCTACCCTGAAAGATGGAACACTGCCTGGTACTATTACCTGGGCTGAGAACCCATGACTCAGTAAGTCATAAGCCATAAAGGAAAATCTACCACTATGTGTTGTTAGTAGACATAATAATAAGCCACTTTGTAAATAACTACCTTGTAGAAAAAAATCTATTCATTTATTCATGTATTTCATGTTTATGTGTGTTTGCCTGAATGAGTTTATATGCATCATATACACCAGAAGAGGGCATCACATCATCTGGAACTATATTTACAGGTGGTTGTGAACTACCACATAGGTGTTGGGAACAAATTCATTGTGGCTGTGGTGTATTCACAAAACCTACATCAAGCCATTCAGATTTCCACTATGGATGGAGAAGGGACTTGTGTAGTCCTATCCCTAGCTGAGGAAGTATTGGTAATTGATGACTGCTGAGCAAGGGAATATCAGTTTTCTTTGGGAATATGGATCTGGCAGGTTGTCCAGGCTCCAGTGGGTGTCCCTATCCCCATGCACATATCAACATCATTAACTGAACTCAGTAGTTTTTTTTTTTAAAAAAAAAAAAAAAGAGTAAATGAAGTTAGGAGGGAAATGTGGGGGTGGAGGGACATATCAGATAGAGGTTGGAGAGAGAGACTAGAGGGTGGATTTGATCAAATCACATTATATACATGCCACAAATTCTAAAGAATAAAAGCATGTTTTTAAAGAAAGACGTGAGTGATTTCAAGTCACCTTCATTTTTATGAACAGAACTTAGCAGTTTAGATGCTCACCAATAGCATGTGCACTCCAGCTTGCTATACCTTGGGTGATGTGTGATGTTGTCAGACTTCTCAATGCTTATGAGCCCGATATGTAGAAAATCAACCTCATCTCTTGCCTTAGTGTTTGTGCTTGTCTTATATAAGAACTGGCTCTCATTGTGTGGGGCTTTGCATTCTCTTCTTTTAACTAGACTCTTCGATCTTTGTTTTTATGTGCATGTGTGTTTGAGGGTCATTATTTCCCAACTGACTTAAAGGAACAATTTACACTTAAAATAATTGAACCCCTTTGGATATCTTGTTTTTTAAAAAGAACGGCTTCATAAAACTCATGAACTTTAGACCAAGAGCTGTGGAACCCGCACGCGACTGGATTAGGCCCTCTGTATATAGGAGACAGTGTATAACTAGGTCTGTTTGAGGGGCCCCTGGCAGTGGGGTCAGGATCCATCCCTGCTGCATGTGCTGGCTTTCTGGAGCCCATTACCTATGGTGAGATGCCTGCCTTGTTCAGCTTTGATGCAGGGTGGAGGGCTTGGTCCCGCCTCAACTGAATGTACTTTGCTGGATGGGTGTGGGTCAGGGAGAAGGCTGTTGTTGGGAGGGGGGAGCGGGAGGAGGGATAAATGGGGGATCTGTGGTTGGATCTGTGGAAAATGAATAAAAATTTTCTTGAATAAAAAAACCAGCTTCTTTGAGGTCTCTGTTATTGGAATGTGGCAGGTGGGAGAGTTAAAGTTGGAAATGGTTATGTTTTGGGTCTGTACAACGTGCTGGTGAGCCTGGAGCTCTCAAAGTTCATCTGGTCAACAGTGCTGCAACTAGTTTAGGAACCTCTCTTCTTTTCAAGTCATGCCAGTTTCTCATGCCCACCAGCTTGTAATAGCCTGGTGAAACAACTAAAATGTGGTTTTCATTTTCAGTCTACACAACTACTGCTGTCATTGTGGGGTCATGGGATTAGATGAAAACCTAACATATTTGTTTCTTCACTTCCACCCAGCACCTCATCACGGACAGCCTCATATTACCCAGTGCATCCAAGGCTGCTTCTCGAATATTCTTCCCAAGAACGCCTCTCTTTGTGTGTGGACATATGCCCAGCTTCAAAACAAAGCAGTATCTGTGTGTTTCTGTAACAAATAGTGACCTACCTTGACATTAAGCCACATCATAGATAAAATGCGCCATACTAAAGAGGACCATTTAGCACAATTTGAGAATAAAATGTCAGTCCAGCAGTGTGCCTGCTGTATTTGTAAAAACTATTTTTTTTTCTTTTGACTGGTTAAGCAAAAAAAAAAAAAAAAGAACTCAATGTTTCACCTCCTTTGCACTTACTGAAAATTTTAATTATAATATTTAACTGGTATGGATTAATAGAGGTACAGTTTTACTTTAAAAATTCACAAGCTGAGTTCCACTTAATCTATTACCCTTTTATTTTATTGAAATGTGTAATAACTGAAGAAGAGAATTATCTTGCAAATTCAAAGTATATTTTCTAATTTAGACGAAATTAATATTTCGTGTACATTTGAATATTTCTTTATATTTGTCATGACAATATTTGCACCTATTTGCTATATTGGACAAATAAACTATCCTTTCAAACAAACAAATGAACAAGAGATGTTTCCTAAAGACAAGACAGAAAAGAAGCACCAACTAAAAAACACATTTAAAAAGTTAGCCATAGATATGAAATATATTAGTGTTTTAAAAGTTTAAATTCAATGAAACTGTTTTATATGAGATAGAATTTTAGATAGTAATCTGGTCTCAAGTAAAGGACTGTTTAAAGAATGGAGGCAGGAGAAAATGAGAACAACCAGAAGCTTAATCATGTTACAAAAGTACTGAGTAAATTCTTAAAAGTCTCTGGAAAATAAAACTTAAAGATGGTATATGCATAACTAAGTTTGCTACAATTAAAGTTACTTTTGCTGGGGTCAGATTTTTGCCAGGAACATATTTCATCATTCATCTGCTCTAGACAAAAGGACCCATGGAAATCCCAGATATTCAACTAGTTTTTGTATTTCTATTTGGGGGTTTTCGATAACAAGAATAAACATGTACAGTCTCATAGTCTCAATACAGAGGA